ATGGTTGGCCCCAACGGGCGCTAAGCCTATGGGACATTATGATGATGATAATGATGATTTTTAAATGATTTTATCATACTATTATAATGACAAACGTGTGTCGTTTTTTTGAAATAACTAAATTATTTTCACTATAACATTCATTCTAGACGTTCATGAATTGTTTAAGTAAAGGTTTCGTGCATACGCCTTGGCACTCAAAAGGTTTTAAAACAAACCATGCTGAGTGCGTTACTGGAATACTTTGCTAATAACTCTTTATAGAAATAAGCTTTCAAAAAGTACATGCCATGGTTATCAAGCCTAACAACTTACCTCCAAATCCATATAAAAATATTTTCTTTGATGTGCATAAATTCGTAGAAATATAAATTTCTTTGCATGGGCCTAATGACAAGGGGCCTTTTAAATGAGTGCGTTACCACGCTTTCCTGAATCTTTACAACCGCGGTAGTACAGTCAAATGAAGCTAAATTTTTAGTAGAGATAGATCTTCTAATTATCTTGTGAAACTACAAGTTTCAGGTCTTTACTACATACTACTGTTGAGTTATAGGAACCCGAAGGCCAAAAAAGGCTGAGTGCGTTACCTGTGGACAAGCCGATATCAAGAATCAGAAGATCTCCAATGAAAAAGACATTTAAAGCAACAGCGCATATTCATGCCATGATATCCTGGAAATATTATTTGGGAAGTGGAGTCTTTACGAGGTCATTGTAGTTTTTGAGAACAAGTTGAATGCAGTGTCGAATCGAAAATAAATACGTTAGCTAGACCCAAGTGATGAAAGAAGGTAAATGCATAAAAGAGCCATATAGTGGTGAACAATAGATCTTCACTACGATCAATCCTATTATGACCCTGAAATCATACGCACGATGTCTGTCAATTTTTGATATTGATGTCTGATAGAAATGAATCAATCTCTTGAATGCTTTAACTACTTATATGAATTACAAAAAATAAAAAAGTAGTCTTTGAGTTTTTAATATAATTACGAAGCCGTTTCATATTTTCACTGGCATCGCTTATTGAATCAAGTGCTACATTAAAACGACAACTGGTTTTTATTAAATTCTATCAATTATTAATGGCAGATATGGGTTATCTATAATGATCTGGTTGCACACACAGCTAGTTTCTTGAGAAGCTCGATTTTACATCTTATAACGATTCTCTCTTTGCATAGACAAAGTTCTTACATAATCTGAGACTGTCCATTTTTTTCCTTTTTTTGTAGAGCAGATAAAATGGAATCTAATATTTAGTGTAAAGTATCAATTAATTTCTTTTTGAAATAAAACAAACAAAGTACCTTCTTGATGTTGTGATCTAAAGCCCAATTTTGCTAATAGAAAGGAAATATCGACCAGTTGAGATGCAATGATTTTTAGTGCAGTGGAAAGACCACCGATCAAGGAAAGCAATATTGTCAGGGTGCCAAAGAATGTGCCTCTTTTTTCTGTATGAGAATAAGTACAATAACTCGGTGCACATAATTGATAATACAGATCATATGAATATGAGGGGTTCCATTGTTCAATCATCAATTGTTTAACTATTGTGGAAATTGAAGTGTTTGGAGCAAAACGGCTTGACAGTGAATCATTCAGCAGGGGTCTGGGACTAAACCATGGTGTGAATTGAACAGTTCGGAGATATTCCTCCTTAATAAAGTCGAGTAGAGTCGGAAAACATATTGAATCAGAATAGAAACATTCAAATGTAGAGTGAAGAAGAGAATCCATAAGAAAACAGCCTGAAATAGAGCCTGGTACCATGTAAGTTACTATGTATGTACTGGAACCGTTAGGCAATCGATGCTCTTTGGACAATACGTTCTGACTTTGGCAAGATGGATCAGTAGCACAAATACAGTTAATAGATGTCGAATTCATATTGGGTACTCCAGTAAAAAGAAATTCCGACTAAAAAAAAGAGAAGATTGTATCGCAATTCCTGTTGAATTAAAATGTAAAAACACAATGTATTCATTATGATCTCCAAAGAAAGTCATATCTGCATAGATGCTATTAAAATTCAATGTCTCGATGACTTTGATCTCTCTCTTGTGTAATCTCGGGTTGATCCATTAGCATCAATTCATGATCTAACCATATCGGTGTACTTAAACAGTAGATCACACTAGAGCATTTGTCAAACGAATGATGGTTTAAGACTGTTTATTCTTTTCTCAAAAGAATCGAGCTGACATTAGGGGCTGAACTCTCTTTTTCGTCAGATATTTGAAAGCTCAGATTATTTCTATGGCAAAATATGGTGTCCGTTTGAAATCGATTGTATAGAAACAATATTTAAAACCCGAATAATATTCAGATTCAAATATAGAATTTGCATTAGGAAGTAAAACGGAAAAACTCATCACAGGTTTAGATCTTCTTAAGTGAGAAATAAACAAACCAGCTGTGATTTTCGAATGCTCAGTTAAAGGGAGAGAAAAGAAATACAAACTCTCATTGATCACATAACGATTTAATTTTAATCTGATTACATGGATGAAGAAATCTTGCTAAATCTTCTGATTAGGAAGGGTGTGGGTG